GTTTGTAGGGATCATGACTGTACATGGCAAGTTACTGTACAGGCGAAATTTCATTGAAGAGATAACAAGGATGCCGAGCATAATATTTCCTTTGCCTTTTGACAGCTGTCCAGCCTCAACCTACAGGTTCCAAGAATCACTGTCGAGCATACCGCAGAGTCCACAGGTGCCCCCCCCCCTGCCTCGGGACGTTTGTAGCGCCCGATTCTGAATATGTGTACAGAAATCGGGGCACAAAGATTGGTCAACCTTGGAAGCTTCATACTTACCATTCTTTACGGAATGCGAAACAGACGGTTCTACTTGTTTGTTGTAGCCCTGCGTAGCGCCAGTCACGAAAAATGACCCTTGATCTCGCAGAGGGAAAAACTCAGCAGTTCTAACCTGTTTTCCCATTTCTAGTATTGTTCTACTAGTCGATTGAGTAATTCAGTTTAGCGACCTAATAACTCATTCGAAATGGATACCTATTTCACTAGTTCCAGGGAGTCGTACCACGTGCCTGCGGCACTGAATAAAGCTAAAAGCGATTCAACAGCCATCAGTAAAGACTGCTAGCACTCATGAAAGAGAGAAACTTCAGCAAGACGATCAAACAAAGTGAAAAGATTCCGGAGCTCCTGTACGAGCGAGTGTTTTTGCACTCGCAGACTAGTGTGGAATCACTAAAAAGTTCCGGTAAGCGCAGTAGTCGATCTAGGATTTGAGCCTCGTGAAGACCGCCATTCCTTCACTCACTATTACATTCAGTGCCATAGTGCTTTATTCATCACCTGTGAACTGTGCTGTGAACTGAAACTCCGAATGTAGGAAACACTGAAGGGAAAACGATTGGCCACCTAAACTTGTCAAGTGCTGCCTTGATCTGCCTCGGTTCTCTTGCTTTTCCGACCACTAAAATGTTTACAGTGATCGTCGTTGAATCACAGCTTTTTTTCCAAGACCCATACAAAAATTAGTAGTCTGGAACTAATAGTAGGTCCAAGAGTAGAGCATGTCGTCTAGCTGACTTCATTAGACTGGCACCAACTGTGCAACAATCTGATAGTGAAATCTCTTCCTTATGCGGCAGCCAGGTCCATA